CAGGTTTTGCCACCAGCAGTGGCATTTCTGCTCATGAGCACAGCTACAGAGAGACCTGGCTCTGAGAAGTTTTGTGCACAAAAAAAAAAAAAAAAAGATTCCCCCAGCTCTGTTTGGGGCTGATGAGGGCTAGATGAAGTGTATTAGAGCTGAACAGCCTGCACTACCCTAAGATATTTGCAGAAGTGATACTTAGCACCATGTTTGACTTCTGATTCATTTTTGGATGAAGTGCCACATGATCTGGCAACAAACCAGCACCAATTCTGTAACACCCAGTCTCGGCTCAACCCCAAACCTGCCCCTTTCCCTAGCACGTCCCATTTACAAACTACAAAGCATCTTTCCTGCAAGAAAGCATCTTTGACCTCCAAAATACCAGGTTCCCAAGTAATTTGGAGAGATCCTACGGGATTCAGGCTGGAAGGGCTGTCTACACCCAGGGCCTTCTTGAGCTCTGTCCAGACACTTGCTGTATTATGACACAACTTGCTTTTTAGAGATCCCGCCACCACATCTTGACCCTGATGGTATTTGCACTTTTCCTCTGGCACGCCTGAGGTCTGAGAGCATGCACCTTGGCCTTTACCTCCATTTTTAGCCATTTTCACAGCTCTTTCTTCTTGCCCCCCAAGTATCCCTTATTAGCTATAAAACAGCAACACCAATCCAGACAAACCAACTTAGAGAAGACAAAACACGAACAAACAGCAATCAAAGTGATGGTGTTATGTATTTCTCCTTTTCAACCACAATTTCCCTTGCATTTGAAGCCTTTCCTCCACTTTGAACACAATTACAAAGCTACTCGGACTTTCACATCGGCGTGCACTCCGTTATAAAACTTCTCTGCAGCTCCCAACCTACCGCAGCTGGAGAAAACCCAACGCTCAACCACCCAACTGCATTTCCAGAGTAGTAGTTTATATTAAAAAGTAAGTAGGAAGCAAGCTACACATTTTTCATAAACGGAAAGCGTTTTCAGCCAGCGGGATGAACTAGCACCCCCTCTGAACCCTACCCACTCGGCAGCGCCATGGGGAAAGCTCTCCAAAGCCTCCGAAGATGGCATCTATCGATCTGACGTCAGTTTTTGTCTCCCCAGAGGCAGGGGATGGATGATCTGGGAGTTTCCCACCATCAACCAGACAGCTGATATGTAAGAGAGCATCACGTCAGGGGTCTTACATACACACACACACACACACACACTTTAAATGTCTTCCAGCTGGGAAAAAACAAACTAAATATGCAGAGAGGTGCCGGAAAGGACAGCGAAACCCAAACTTGTTTACAGGACACCTCTTGCTATGTGGTCTCAGCACCGGTCCCAGCTTCACCAGCACCTTCTGAGTATCAGTCCCCTAAGAGGGGTTCAGTCTGACCGTCTACAGAAAAGCAGAAACCCAACAGGACTTCACAAAACGTAGCACAGGCAGGATTGAACAGTATGCGAATTCAGCACATCGCTGCCTATTGACCAACACACAACAGCTGCCAAAAAGAGGGCATCGGATCCCAGCTGCTCCAAGTTCACCACCCTCCTATCAGTGCAATGCTTTAATAATACACACATGTAGAAAACCCCTCTCGATTATTTGCTCTGGCTCAGCCAGGTGTCTAAATACCAATATTCCAGGGTGGGTTTTTTTAAGGAATTTTTCAGGGATGCAACAGCAAACACAGTAAGGTGGGTTGCCTTCCACTGTTCAGCCACGCTCATGCGTCTTTTAGAAAGGATCCTCACAGCACACAGCTACGCCATTGTTTCCCAGAGGACGTCACACCTTGCAGGCATGGAGGTGGAATGAAGCAGGATCACTTCTGCACACACAAAAAAAAAAAAACCCAAACCACAAAATCCCCCAAAACCCTCTGCAGGTTTGTTTTCAGGTGGCCTGGAGAGGAAGGCACCCACCATGCCCAAGTCCTGAGCTTGAGCATCCAGCCCATGTGCATCAGGGACACTGCAGCAGCCCAAAGCATCACACCCACCTGCCTGCATAACGTGTGTTCACAGGCTGTGGGTCCACCAGTTAATTCGAGCCTAACATTAGGCTAACATAGATAAGCAGACCTAATCACTCACATCTCCAGCGTAAAAACTGCCCCAAGTGCTCTCATGAGAGCACCAACTTTGAGCACGAATGATCTGTGTTAACATCAGCCATCCGTCTGCTGCTGGAACTGGGCTACTAAAAAGCAATTCTTGACGTACGCCAAAATTAAGAGTTTTTAATAACGAACATCAAGTTATCCGAGTACAAGTTTAAGCACAAAACTGAGGCAAATGGAAACACTGTATTTCTCCTGACTAAACATAATTATAGTTAACGCTTCTTCAGGGCTCTAGAGACGTAAATATATAGGTTAAACATAGTTAAAATTCTACATCCTACTTAATTGTAGGCATTTCCAATTGAGCAAAATTAGCTTTATCTTCAGGTTTAAATTATTAATAACCACGAACAATGTCACCACCTTTAAACAATAATCACAGCCACGGAAGAAGCTATTCCTCCCCAGATTTCTAGAGGCACTCGAATCAGCGTCCCAAGCGTACCTGGGGGAAATCAAACACTCTCCTTGACAAGTTCCTGTGGCTCCCAGAGCATCAGTGCACGGAGCGAGCAGGCTCCAGCCAACACCACGAGCCTCCACCCCACCTGGCTACGGACTAATTCCCAAAATTAGTGGGGTCAGCAGGATGCAGGGGGTTTGTCAAGCCCCCGAGCGGTGTCGGTAAGGTCGGCAGGATTGCTGATAGGGTTTCCCAGGATCTGGGAGCCCGGAGCAGCAGGGACAGCGTGTCAGTACAGACGACTCAGCTGAATCATAATGGCTGCATTGACATTACCTTCCCAGAACAAGGCCAACCTAAACACACGCAGCTGCCTGGGATTTAGCAGGAGATTTACGGTTTGCACTGGCCACTCTGCCTGCAGACCTACAAATCACCAAGCCACACACACGGCTCTGGAGAAGACCTCGGGTCCCCCAAATCCATGAGCCCTTCAGCTTTATTTCAAGCTGCCTGTGGAGAGCAACCCACAAAAAACACCCATGGACAGCGCAGAGCTAAGCCAACCCAAGGGGCCTCAAAGTCCAGGCTGTCACCCTAGTCCACTTTCCCTTCATTTGAGGCCACGGTTATTAACATCTAAACATGTGATTGGCCACATGACAGGCTAAAAAAAAAAATAAAAATCACTTAGACCCGTGCAGAGGAGAAGGTAGAGACCGCAGCATGCATCTCTCTGGTGGGCACACCTGCACACCCGTATATTATAACAATTCCTGGGAAATGGCTCCTTTCATCAGCCAGCTCGGGGCAGCGCGACTGCCTGCAACGATTCAAGCCATCCGGGTGAGAAGCTTTAATAACCGGGCGATTGTATAACTTTGACAGCTGGGTGCCTCTCGGCTACAGCGGTGGGTGCTGAGCAAAAGTTTAAGCAAGCGAAGGCGCGCAGTGGATGTTCCCCGATGCGTGGGTACGATAATGGCACCAGATCAATTAGGGCAGCAAAATGTACATCATCCGAGCCTCCTCCTAATCCAGGAGTTTCTCAGCTAACGTATTTCTCTCCTCGTTAACCGCTTCGGTGTCTTCTGCTCTTTCAAAAATAGTACCTACTATAACGGGTCCTGAAGAGGGGGCCAGCTGGCACCCGCCTCGGGGCATCGGGAAAGCGAACAGGGCTTTGGGGGAGGCAAGACACGGGCAAGCAGGCAGGGAGCTCCTAGAATTGAGGGCAGGGTGGGTTCTCCCCCCCCGACCCCAATCCTCAGGGGGGATGCAAAGTAGAGCCAGGTGAGCCCCCCCTCCCCCGCCAGCTCCTGCTTCCACCCAAAGCAGGGTCCCGGCACCCCAGTCTGGGGGGGTGAGGTGTGCAGAAGCACAGCGCCTGCCCCCACCCCCCGGCTGGCACCTCTCCCTTCCCAGCCCAGCGCCCCTGTCCTCCTCCGGGCACCGGGCTCTCCCTAGGATGGGGATCCCCCCCCAGCAGGGCTGGGATGTCACCACCCCCCTCCCCTTGCCACCACCTGCCAGGCAGCGACCTCCTATTGAGGCCACAGGGACTGGGGGGTCCCCCAGCCCATCACCCCCCCACCCTCGCACTGCACCAGGG